CCCTGAGGGAAACCGCGAGAGTGGCTGCTGTTTGTCGGCGCTGGGGAGGTATCATCGGGGCTTGGGCATCGCGCAGGCGTTTTGTGACATCGACGTCAACCTTCGCCAGTACACAGCGTGTTGTGCCCGTCGTGCGTGTGAACTGCACCCATTTCAAATTGCAGCTTCATGTTACGGAATTGATGGACTTGGGTGTCGCGCGAATGCGAAACAATGCTATACTCTTCCCCTCCTCTAGCCAGGCTAGGACCCCAGTCACTGGGCAAGTGGAGGAGGACGGTTGAGTTGCTCATGCCACGTGAGTGCGCCCGCACTCACACGGCGGTGTAGGAACCTGCATCTCTTCTCAAGGCAGTAGATCCATTTACGTTCTCTGTACAAGTTTGACGAGCAGTGACCCCTCACCGCAATTTCCGAGCAGGGGCTCGGTGAAGCGGCTCAGGAGCTCCCGTTCGGGTTGCTCCCTTGCTCCCGAGTATTACCTGCGGAGAATCTTGTGAGGGTGCGGGAGTGATTTGATGTTGGGTACGTGAGTGCGCCCGCACTCACACGCCCTAGTCCCCCGCATGGATTGACAGTTTGTTCCTGTGGCTCATAGCCCTCTCAGCCGCGAACATAAAGGAGTGATGGTATTACCCGCTAACTTGCCCCCTTGTTCTGTGCCGCCAGGGCTCACAGGAGCAGGCGCCCGCTTGCCCTCCCCGAACTAACTGCCCGGCATGGCTGCTTCGTTGGTCATTGGTGGCAGCCTTTACACTGCTGTCAATGGAGATGGCGACAGTGACTGGGAAAGATGCTACCCTTACGAACACCCGGAGATCTTTTCCAGCGAGCCCATCCTCGAAGGCCACGGCCACACTTGTAGTGCTGGCTGGATATCGCTCACCAAGCTCCTCGTACTGCAAGGAATCCGCGATGCCTCGGCAGCCCAAGGACGTCCTAATCAACGGACCCTCGCCATGGTTGCTGCGGCCGAACTCGCGCACTCTGTTGGAGGTCATCGTGCCTGGCTTGCACACCACCTTCGAGATCTTTCGCAGGATTTGAGGAACGAGCTTGCCCAGGAGTACGGGGCGTTACTGGCTATGTTCAGACGTCCGCCTGGACCACAGCAGAATGCCCTTGTAGCCTGGGCCAGGCCAATCATTGTGCATAGCCAGGAAGATTTTCCGAGAAATTTCACGGAACGTGAGATCACCTTATTTCCGTAGGCAACAGGTAAATGTTACCGTCCTTGAAGTTTATAAATGTCAAACATGTTTTATATTTGTGCGTCCGCTGGAAAAACGATATGTTTGTCCTGTGTGGGAATTTTGCATGATGTTTTGCAGAATGGGGTCATGAGTCAGTTGTACCGCGCCGGCTGCTCAAGATGACAGCCGGAGTAGCTGTGTCCTTCTTGTGATGGGCGCTAGACATCGTGGACGAGCGGCAGCGGCGGCTCCTTTGGTGCTGGCCATTTCGGGCTCTCGCAATGGCGGGTTCTCGTATTCAGCATGCTGCTTGGGCGCTCTGCTGGGTTTTGCACTTTTCCTCGCGCTTTTGTCTGCGCTTTGAGATTTCGCTCATGCTGGTGCCGCTGGCATATGGTGCGCCCTCGATTCCCAGGGAGGGCCCCCTGTCCGAGGAATCCGACTCGCCACGTGCAGATCCCGATGGATTGGAGCCTGGGCTGCTTCTCATGTCCACTGGTTCAGACCGGCATGATACAGTTTCTGGAGTCGGCGTGCAGCCGCCGACTGGTTCTTCGACCTTGGCTTTCATTGACCAGCCTACTCGACGCGTTCGCCGCCGTGTTGACCTGGATGCTGGCAATGCTGGTCTCATGCATCCTGCGCTACCTGCCGACTTGTCTTCGTCAGGGACAAGTACAAGTGCATCGTTCTCGGTTGTGATCCAGGACATACACCTTCGCATCCGTGACTTGGAGTTGTTTGCTAGTTCGACGCAGTGTACTCTCGAAGCACTTTCTGCTAGGCTGAGTACCCTTGAAGATCACTTCGGGCTCACATGCAGTGAACATGCTCCTCGTGTCAATTTGTTGCGTCGGGTCCAGCTTCTGGAACTTGCTAGCCGGAGCTCGTCTAGCTGAATGTGTGGGCCTTGCAGCCCCTCTCTTGTACAGTTCGGCGATTTTTTCACGCCTCCATGTCGAGCACTCTTGTGTTCAAAATGCAACGCGCGGGCTGAGGGGCCTCCAGCGAGGGCTGGCAGTCTTGTACTGGTGCAATTGCATTGCATGTCTCTACGGCATATGCAGTGCCTCTGAGGCATAGCAGGTCTTTCCAGGAGCCAGTCTGTGTGGTTGGCGACATGTTCTGCGCTGTCTGTGTGTTGCAGTCCGAGGGGGCTCGAGCAGGCAACATGGGGTGCACAGACTGTAGTGCAGTAGGTGACATGCAAGGTCGTACTAATTTGCAGCAACGCCTTTCAATGTGCAGCATGTAGCCTTTCAGCATGTAACCATATGCGTGTTGAAATTTCTTCCACTGGCAGTGCATCGCCCGCTCATCTCTGTCGGAGCGGGAAGTGGATGGCGCTTGCAGGTCCGAGGTGCATCTCATGCCAACAGGTTGCATAACGGCTCATCCTTGGCGTCCCGGGCCGTGACTGCCTGCTACCGCGGTCGTGGAGTTTTAGCAACTTTGTGAGGGGTTTGGGCGTCCTCATGTCGCAGCCTGCTTCCCAGTTTGCTCAGCCCAAGCCTAAAATTGCTATTTCCCCCCCCGATCTCGACCCATGGGGCCTCTTGGCGGTCATGAAGGGCGACACTGACTCTCCTTTGCTGGCCCAAGAGCCTACCAGTTCTTCTGCGAGCACGACCCAAGTGCCTTCTGCCTCCCAGCCCTTGGGGCCGGCGGGCCATCCGGCTTCCCCTCAGTCATCCGCCCCTTCAGCCTCTGAGAACCTTCATGTGCATTCTGCATCGCACGAGGTCCCTCCCGTGCAGCCTCCACAGCAAGAGCCTTTGCGCGAGGTTGTTAAGTGGGGGAGTGTTCGCGATTCCTTGGTTAAGGCAATAAGGGGCCCCTATAGTCTCGAGGCACGGGTGGCTACCAGATCTTTGAATATGGGTTTTCCGGGCGTACTCAGCTTTCCTAGGGAGGTAATGTGGTCTACAGACTCCTTCGCCTGCAATCCCATGGGGTCCATGTGGGACCTTTCGTGGCCGGAGCACAGCAGCACCGATGCTATGGACACAGCTGAGCCCCCGGATCAGATTCTGCCGATCTTTGTTGCAAACCCTAAACCTTGGAAAGGGTCCGTTGTTCACTCCAAGGGTTGGTCGGATGCTATTGATGCGAACCGGTCGCAGGCCTTGGAAATCTGGAAGTCTCTGATTTTGTCCTCTGGGAGTGCAACAAAAGTAGGTAGGGACCTCTTGCGGGCACAAGAAGATTCTTTAGGAGAGGCGAAGGTGAGGCAGATCATTGATGATGTTTTCGCAAAGCGCGCCAGTAGTACGTTGCGAACAAGGTCCACCTCCATGTTGCAGTTCATTCGTTGGAGATCATCAGTTGGTCTTGAGACGCCCCCTTTTCCCATCGATGAAAGTGAGGCGTACGACTACATTTGCTTTCTCCGGTCAGAAGGCGCTCCGAAGTCCAAGGCACCTAGGTTCAGAGAGGCGGCAAATTTTTGTGGGGCTCTTCTGGGCTTTGACTTTGATGATATCTCGCAATCTGCAAGGATTGACGGTGCTTGCATCGGCACCGTCTTTAAGCCAGTGCAGAAGTGCGACCCCTTGACGGCCGTTCAGGTCCAGTCGTTGGAAGAACAGATCTATGACTTGCCTGACCTTGAGGCAGTGCTAGTAGGGTTTTGCCTTTATGTTCTTCACGGCCGGTTGAGGTGGTCAGATGCACAGTGTACGGAGTCCGAGCCTGTCCTAGATTCCACTGAGAGTGGTTGTGGCTACTTGATCGCAAACCTTTACCATCACAAAACGGCAGACAAGAACAGCCTCCTGCGGCACCGCCTGCTGCCTGTTTCGTGCATATCACCGGGCTTGAGCACACATTGTTGGGCCTCTGAGTGGCTTCGTAGGAGGGCACGGTTAGGTCTTCGTGCTGCGCGAGGTGTACCCTTGATGCCCTGCCCGCTAAATGCAGGGGGCTTTGACACGATCCCTCTTGACGCTTCTCGAGGTGCCATCTTCTTGAGGGAGATCCTTGGGCAGCTGGGACATGCACCGGTCCTCCCCCAGCGAATCCGTACGCACTCTTTGAAAACGACCATCCTTTCCTGGATGGCTAAGGCTGCTAGCTCAGAGAATCTCAGGAGTGTGGCTGGGTATCATGTTGGGAAGTCCCGTTCGACCCTTGAGTACGACAGAGACTCGTTAGCCCCAGTGATGCATCACCTTGAAGGACTCTTTCAACTCATCCGCCTCGGCATATTCTCTCCAGACTGCACGCGGTCTGGCCGGTGGACCGGTAGGTTCAAATCCGTCGATCTTGCGTTGGCCAGTTTGCAAGGCGACAGGCCCGATGGGGAGGGTGAGGCACCAGATGCATTCTCGGATGTCGAGGAGCAGTCCGAAGTTCACTCGCAGGCAGGGGATCCAGTTTCTGATGAGGAGTTCGCTGAAGGCCTGCAGAGTGTTCAGCAGTTGGCTGCTCGGATCCCGGTGGAAACTCCGGCCTTGCCACCACAGGTTTTCATGCACAAGACAAGTAAGGTGTTCCACATCCCCAGGGCCGACCATCCTTCCTCAGAAGGCGAGATCACAATTTTGGTCTGTGGCCGGACAGCTAACGTAAATTATGAGCTTGTTCCCATGCCGACAATTTGTGTGGCCAAGTGCAGCGGCTGTTGGGCGAGCAGATAAAAATGCACGTGTGACCAGCTTTTCGCATGCCGTTCAAGTTGCTGTGCCTGTTGTCTTCAGTTTCTGTGGGGGGGGGTGTTTGCAGAAACCTTCTCTGCACTTTCATGCTCTCCGCTCGCTTGTCGGCACAGATCTGTAGCATGCGAGGTCCCGAGCCCGCGTAGCTGTGATGGCTGCCATTGATTCGGAGGCCCTTTTCAAGTCAAAGTGCAAGCAGCTCAAGTTGCCAGATGCGGTCATCACCAAACTTGCAGGTAAGGGGTGGACCACCTTTGGTACCTTTGCTTTCTGCTGCCCTGGTGAGCCGGGTCGTATCAGTGAAGCTGAGTTCAAGTCGGCTGTTGCCGACCCCGTAGTGGCAGCTGAAGTGGAGCATGTGCCTAAGCTCCGTCGCTTGCACTTTGAGGCTTATGCCATGACTGCTGCGGAGCTGAAGCGCACAGCAGATGCTACAGAGAGTGATACGCCGCGTAAGATCCCGGCAGTGGAGTTGGCGTCTCGCTACGACCAGCTGCAGGCTCGGGTGAAGCCTCTCCGAATCATTGACAAGCTCGAACCGTCGCATGCCCTTGTGAACCTCGCGTCGTCCATGCTGGATGAAGGCAAGGTCCGCTACATCGAGTGGAGTCGGTGTACTAGCAGGGCCCAGGAGATCAATTCTATCAAAGAAGATCAGGCGTTGAAGGTCCTGCAGGGCGGGAAGTCAGGGGCCATTCGGCTGGTTGATTCCGAGGTCAAGTTGACAGCTGCGGTTCAGTCAGATTTGGAGGTTTTCCAGGCACTCAGGAGGCGCGGCATTGCATACAATCTGGCAGCGATCATGAGCTTTGAGAAGCATGAGCTCTTGCTTGATTTGCTGTTCACAGAGTTTCAGCGGGATGTGCCTGCCGGCTTCCAGCCGGTTACTTTTTCCCAGCTTCAGCAAGCCGACAGGGAGATTCACGTCCGCATGGGTGAGCATACGCGTGCAGGATTGGTTCCTTCGGCCGCAGGTGCACTGCCCTTGGACGACCCCCTTGATGCGGTCCTCAAGTCTCCGGCGGTTCAGTGGCTGTTGATGCCTCGCCCGAAGCATGGCGCTGCTTCGGCTCCCAAGCAAGACTCTGCAGCACAGGGTTCGGGCCCCAAGCCAAAAGCCAAGGCAAAGGGCAAGGCAAAGGCGGGCTCTCCTGTGCCGTCCGAGAGAAAGCAGCAGCAGACCTCGAATAAGCGGCGCAAGACCATGTTTCGTATGCCAAAGCCGTTGATCGGCGGCGTGCCGAAAACCGCCGCAGGACAGAACATCTGTTTCGATCATAACCTGGGGAAATGCACCCCGGGGGTGGCGGAGTGTCCCAAAGGCCTGCACGTCTGCTGTTATGAAGGCTGCTTCAGTCGAGACCATGTCTTCTCGCATCACTCGTGACGGCAAAGGTCAGGAGCCGGATCCGTGCGTGACGCGCCCCAGCCTCACCATGCGAAGCTCTTGCGTGAATCAGATCTTTCCTGCAATGCTCCTTCGGAGCCTGCCGAATCTCCTATGCACTCCATGCCGAGGGGCATGGACAAGGTGCCTGCTTCGTCTTTGCCGAGGGGCAAACGGCCGATGCAGGATCCAAGTGTTTCACAGTCGAATTCTGATGCCCGTTTCCATTTTCCATGTCCTGGTCAGTTGTTTCTGCAGACATCGCACTTGCATCAAGCTTCTGGTGTCCCGCAGCCGACTCCAGAGCAGGTGCCTCCTGCAGCAGCGTCGGCACCGCCATCTGCTGCTGAAATTCTTTCCTTGTTGCAGTCTTCCTTTGCTTCCCCGACAAGGAATAGTAGGGCACATGCGCTGGCTTCATCCGATGCTGTCGTCAGTTACTTTAATGTCGGGGCATTCTCCCAGGGCGCTCGGTTTGGGGTCACCCGGGAGACACACAGGCATTCGCAAGCACTGGCGGACATCAACCGGTGGCTCCGCTCCAAGTTCCCGTCCCAGCATTGGTCTAGCATCGCAATTAATCATAATGAAAAGTTGCAGCTGCACAGGGACCTGGCCAACGAGCCGGGCACGATGAACTTTGCTGTTGCTTTGGGAAGCTTCCAGGGCGGAGGCCTCTTTGTCGAGGATGCTTCCGGTGATGTGAGCAGGTTTTGCGCCGAGCTTCAGGCTTTCATCAAGGGCACTGTGCACAATCTTCTCGCTTCACCGCTTGCCTTTTCTGGCCGCAAATGGCATCAGTCTGAGCCGTGGCATGGCGATCGTTGGGTCATTACGGCCTACACGTGTTCTCGTTTGGGATCCTTCCCTGCCGGCGACATTGATGCCTTGCGTGCCTTGAATTTTCCGCTCCCGCCCCAGTGTCTCCCACAGGTCTCTGTGCCGAGCTCAGTTCCCCCGCCTGACGCCGGCCCGCCACCCCACACTGCAGCTGTCGAGCCACAGGGTCGCAAGCCCTTTGCGTTGGAAATCTTCTGTGGTAGTGCTGGCGTGTCGGCCGCCTTTCGTCGGGTGGGCATTGAGTCGCTCGGAGTGGATCACGCATGCCCGGGTTCTAGAGCAAAGTCGCCTATGATCCGCCTGGATCTTCGCCGCAAGGCCCACCAGGACATCCTTTGGAGTGAAATACAGCGGGCAGACGTAGTCTGGCTCGCGCCCCCCTGCGGGACAGCGTCACGTGCCAGAGCAGTGCCTCTGAAACAGAAGGGGTTGCCGCGTGTTCGCCCTCTGCGGGACGCTCGCTATCCTGAAGGTTTCCCGTGGCTCACTGGCGTGCCTGCGGCAAAGGTTCAGAGTGCAAACCAGCTTTATGCTTGGGCGGCCGAGGTCTTCGCATATTGCCTACGCACTGCTAAGATTGTCATTTTGGAGAATCCCGCCAATTCTTGGCTCTGGCAAACAAAATGGTTCAAACCACTGCGCCCTAAAGCTTTTTGGCAGGTCCTTCATAACTGCATGTACGGCTCTATGCGGCGAAAGCTAACAGGTTTGCTCTCGTCCATTCCGCTACCGGGCATGCAACTTACGTGCAATGGCAAGCATAGTCACCTTGCCTGGGGTGCCCAAAACACCAAGCAAGGCTGGACCTTCAGTACTGCTGCGGAAACTGCTTACCCTGTAGACTTCTGTCGGGCGGTCGCGACCGACGTGTTGGTAGCATTGCAAGATCGTGGTTTCTCCTTTCATCACGAAGGTTCTCCCACCGCTGCAGCTCAAGCTGCCATGGCTTCCAACAAGCAGCCCCGTCGGGGCCGCGGTCAGGTTGGCCCTTCTGAGTTTGCATCCAAAGTGCTCCTTCAGGTTCCCGTGCAGTCCAATTTGCCACCGACGATGCCGGCCACGGCGCCCGCAGGTTTACAAGGCGTTCCAGTTGGTTCTAAGCTGTTGTGGTCCCGTGAGGTGCTAAAGGGGGATTGTCGGGTTAAGGAGTGTGAATATGGCATATACCATACGCCCGAAGCTTTCCTCGACAAAGCTTTGCAAACGGTCCATCCCTTCGATACTCCTGTGTGCATTGATCGGCCTAACCTTCGAGCAATTGCCTTCACGCTTGAAAATGGAGTGGAGGCAACAGCTCTCCGTCGCAAGCAAGTCCTGGAGTACTACTCGAAGAGAAAACTTGAGCTCGCTGAGGAGGAGAAACATTTGAAGGATTCAATGCACCCGGATGTTCGGAGTGTGATGGAGTCGAAGAATCTTCTGTTGTTCAAGGAGATGTTGAAAGATGCAGAAGTACATGACGAGTTCCTCTTCGATGACATGGTAAGTGGCTTCAGGGTCACGGGTGAGCTGAGGCCTTCGGGCCAATTCCCATCTAAGTGCAAGGTTGCAGCCATCACTGTGGACGACTTGAGGGCCACGGCCAAGTGGGCGAAGCATTTGGTGGAGGCTTCTTGCAGGCGAGCGGCAAAAGACAAATCTGTCGCGAAAGAGGTGTATGCTGAATCCCTGGACCAAGTCGACAAAGGGTGGTTGCGGGGCCCTTTTACGTGGGAGCAGATGGATGAGCGCCATGGCGGCACCTGGATTCCTTCGAAAAGGTTCGGCGTCGTTCAAGGCGATAAGGTGAGATCTGTGGATGACCTGAGCGAGTTCTTGGTCAACGCGACGGTGACCGAGACCGAGAAGATCTTGCTTGAAGGTATCGATGAGATTACTTGTCTGGCCCGGTATTTTGGCGGTGCCACTGTGGCGGGTGTGGACTCCTTCAGACTTCCGTCTTCGTCCAAAGGAACCGTGACGAGGAGATTACACCCTGATTTCAGGAATGGCGAGGCCAGGAGGTTGTTGGGCCGGGCACTTGATCTGAAAGCCGCTTATAAACAACTCGCAGTCCATCCAGCCGACCGGTGGGCGTCTGTGCTAGCGGTTTTGGACGTGGAGTCGGACAAGGTGCTCTACTTTGAATCGCTGGCATTACCGTTTGGAGCAACGAGCGCTGTCACAGGATTTAATAGAGCCGGACGAGCCTTGCGAATGATTATGAGTCGCTTGCTGTTTCTGACCAATACAAGCTTTTTCGATGACTATTGCCAAATGGAGGTTGCGCCTCTTGCTGAGTCGGCTGATTCTTCTGCATTGGAGCTGATGAGCTTACTCGGGTGGCAAGTGTCTACGGGTGATAAGCTTAAGAACTTTTCCTCTACCTTCAACATGCTTGGCGCTACGATCTCCTTCGATGAGCTTCCCAAGGGTTTTGTCAATGTCTCGAACAAGCCGGGAAGGATTGAAGACATCGAGAAGTTGGCCAAAGAGTTGGAGGATCGCGGCCAAAAGGGAATCGATGTTCTGCCGTCGCTGAAAGGAAAGCTGCTTTATGCAGCTGGACACGTCTTTGGAAAGTGTGCTCAGATTGCAACACAATTGATCCGGCACTATGAGAGTTTTGGGTCAAAGTCGGCTGACTTCGAATCCTTGTGCCGTGCCATTTGGTTGGCGATTCGCACGTTGAAGGAGGCTGGCCCGAGGAGGATCTCTTTGTGGTCGGAGCAGCCTCCGATCGTCATCTTTTCAGATGGAGCGCATGAGTCTGACCTTGTCACGCATGGAGCTGTGATCGTCGATCAGGCTACTGGGTTCAAAGAGGTGTTCGGGGATAAAGTTCCTGACGACGTCGTCACCGGGTGGCGAAAATCTGGTCGCAGACAACTGATCTTCTTTGCGGAGCTCTTCCCGGTGCTTGTCGCCAAAAGAACATGGGCGGACAGGCTTCGGAATCGTCGTGTCTTGCTCTTCGTAGACAACCAAGCGGCGAAGTCAGCTCTGATTAGGGGATACTCACCTTTGGTTGATGCTTCAAAGGTTCTGGCGGACATTTTCGAGCTTGATGTCCGGCTGGGTTGCTTGACTTGGGTCTGCTGGGTGCCCTCCAAGAGCAACGTTGCAGATGCAGCATCCCGCCTGGAGTTCGAATCGTACGCAGGGATCTTCAAAAGGGTCATGCCGCGGTATGCAGAAACTTCCTATGCCAGGATTGCCTAGTCGGGTCTTTGGAGCTGAAGGGGGGAAGGACGCGCAATCCTTGAGTGTGATGCACGGGCTGCTCTGTGGGCCGAGGGGCCAAAGGATCCGGGGCTGTCTGGTGCGTCCACCACATGTGCCGCTATGCAGCGTTCGCATACTCGCCCCCATGCTCATTTGGAAAAAGAAGACCGATTGAATGCATATTGCGAGCTGACCTGGATTCCTATTTGAAAGGATTGAATATTTAAGGTGAGGTCTATAATATTCGATCCTTGAGATAATCAACTCTCTGAAATTGAAATTTGCTGAGATTGACTGATTTGAGTTATAACCTTCAAGGATTGCCGATAAGGAAATAAGAGAAATTTCACGGAACGTGAGATCACCTTATTTCCGTAGGCAACAGGTAAATGTTACCGTCCTTGAAGTTTATAAATGTCAAACATGTTTTATATTTGTGCGTCCGCTGGAAAAACGATATGTTTGTCCTGTGTGGGAATTTTGCATGATGTTTTGCAGAATGGGGTCATGAGTCAGTTGTACCGCGCCGGCTGCTCAAGATGACAGCCGGAGTAGCTGTGTCCTTCTTTAGACCCACCCACCCACCCGGGAAGGACGCGCAATCCTTGAGTGTGATGCACGGGCTGCTCTGTGGGCCGAGGGGCCAAAGGATCCGGGGCTGTCTGGTGCGTCCACCACATGTGCCGCTATGCAGCGTTCGCGTACTCGCCCCCATGCTCATTTGGAAAAAGAAGACCGATTGAATGCATATTGCGAGCTGACCTGGATTCCTATTTGAAAGGATTGAATATTTAAGGTGAGGTCTATAATATTCGATCCTTGAGATAATCAACTCTCTGAAATTGAAATTTGCTGAGATTGACTGATTTGAGTTATAACCTTCAAGGATTGCCGATAAGGAAATAAAATTTACCTCATAAAAGCGCACTTGGAGCAGCATCTTTTGCTTGCATGGCGTTTCACTGCCGATAAAGTCAATTTGCTTTTGCAAGCGATGTCCGATGCTGTCCCCAATGATAATGCCGTCATTCTGGAGTAGGTAGCGTGCTTCCTCGATGAACGTATTGCTACCGACATTCTCGAGCATTTAGATGACGAGACCATGCATCTGCTTGAGGACAATCGGCATTCGGATAGTGACATCTAACGCTGACCTTGTGCGAATACGGAACAAACGGCGGTACATCGGTCGTTATCCATGGTCATGCGGCCTTCCTGTAATGTCATGCTGTTGTCTTGACCGATTTGGAAAGTTGTAACCATTGATCATGTTATACTGCTGATGTAGTCTCCAACTGAAGGGAGCTGAGTCAGGGGAAGTTGGGAGCAAGCTTGTTGTTGTGTGACATTTTTTTGCGCTGGACGGCACGGCTCTCAGGCAAGACTGCCCAGTCTTCCTCTACCTTGCCCCATCAACTGGGTAGGCTGCCTCTTCTTCGCCATGGCATTGCAAGAGCCCCTTGGCCTGGAGAACCTGCAGCCTCCTCCATTGGTCGCCCCTCCGCTCGTAGCTGGGCGTGAAAACACCTGGATTACGGCGAGCCATGGCAGTTCAACCCTCCCCTTTGTTGTATCCCGGCCGAGTGCGGATGCAGGGGAAGCCAACTCGATAGTGCTTCTCCTCCCTGGTTGTGGACATTTCTATGTGGAGAATATGCACCCACTGCCTTGGCAAGGGGCCATCGAGTATCTGTGGAGCAACCTGGCTTTCAAAAAGGCTGTCATTGCCTGCGCATGGCCTGTGGCGGGACAAGCAGGCTCACCGCCTGCCTGGATGCTGCCTGACGGTGCTGCCTGGACCAAGGCAGTGTATACAATGGAAATTCTACCGCTCCTACTGGCAGTCCAACGTGATGCGAGCCCTTGCATCTCCTTGCCCACATATCTCATGGGCCTTGGCTCTGGAGGAACCATCACCTACCAGATTGCAATTTCCGAGGCCCATGCGACCTTCCGGGCTTGTGTTTGCATGGGCCCCATTAGGCTGCCTTCTTTGCTGCCAGCCCCAACGAGCGGGGAGACACGAATTTTAGTCTATGGCGGACGAAAGGACGTAGAGACCTTTCAGCACCACCTTCGGATGTGCTACTCGGTGCGGGGCAATCATCGCGTGCCTCCTGTCACAGAAGCCCTTTCCGAAGACTCACACTTTACCGCCTTCAAGGGCTACGGACGCACGCAGTACCCCTGGGCCCCCGGCCTCACAATCCGCCAGGTGGTTATCGGCAAGGACCCGGAGCATGTGGTGTGGCCTGCATTGCTGAGCGATCCTGATTGGCTGCTGGCGGACCATATCGAGCTCCCGGAGTAGTCGTCGGGGCAGGGTAGAGAGTGCCTTCCTTTTTCCATTTTAATCGATTTATGCGCGCCGGCCCTTGTGTTGCCGCTACAAACAGACCAGCAACCGAGGTACGCCTGCATTCTGGTGCTACTACTGTGCACGGACAAAGTAAAGGATGCCATCGTCTCCAGGTCATTGCTTTGTACATGCAGCACATTGCAGCCACAAGTAACAGCCACCTGCGATGACATGCTGCATCCCTTTTCAGGTTGCGCGTTGGATGTGCCCTGGCTCAAGCTAAGGGTGGCTGGCTGACTGAACGAGGAACCCATTGTGTAGAGGGTTGCAACGCTCCTGACTGGTTTTTTCTCGCCTTTCTGCTTCTTCTCTCCTGTGTGTTGTGCTTTTTGTTTGGTCCTCTCTTTCCTTGAGTCCCTCCCTAGTTTTTGTAAGGGCTTTCCAGGGATCTTGGTGTCTGGAGGTTGCCTCGTGGTTCTCCGCTGCCTGTGGGGTAGTCACATGAGTTTGGCCTGCCATGTTCGGTGAGTGATGCCATGGAGTCGTATGCCTGTCAACCGTACGCGATCCGGGTTGGAGCGCAAGTGCTCCAAGTCCACGTTGCCAGGAGAGGGCAACTCACTGCACTTGCCACTTTAGGGACCAGTGATGTCGCAATGACCAGGCAGATGCAAGCCGGCGTCATCCTGCCTCATGAACTCGATGCTGCCGGTTGGTGCCGATACTTTCCGCCGGAAATACAACCCTTGTTGTGTCTGGACCATTCTGCCTTTTTGAGAAACAGCAACGCCGTCTGCTTCGCCCGGCAACCCACGGTTCGCTGTTTTCTCCTGCATGCATGGAGGCCAGGCATCGGCATCATGCCGCATAGCAGTGCCCTCATGGGGCGAGCGGTGTCCACGCACAGTGCTTTGCCTGGGGACGCGATAGACCTTCCCCCTTGGGCGAGTGTTGTCACCGAACAAGGAGCGGGTAGGGAGACAGCCCTGTCTCCCGGGCCCTGGCAAACTCCATCACCTAATCCACCTAGGGTCTGCTGGCCGGATAATAGTCCTCGCCCTCCCATACCGCCGATTCCTCCACGTGTTGGAGAATACCCAGTGAGTGAGGTCAGTAGGATCGAGCCGCGAATTCCACATGGGAGGCCACCTCCCGCGCCAGTTGCAGCCGACCTGCCACCTTGGCAGGTCCCTAGCCACCCAGGTCCACAGGTCCTTGCGGCGACCGCAATGCAGGCTATATGCCAGCTTCGCACTCTCAGTGCTGACCATGCGCCGGGGCCTCAGGAGCCTGAGGATCTCGCGCAGGCACTAGAAAGTAATCAGAATTTCCCTGAGCCCACCCCTAGCGGCGTACTGCCATTGAAACTGGCCTCGGGAGCCATTTCCGGCGAACCGCCTGAGCCGCAAGGTCTCCACCCAGAGATTGACTACAATGCATTACTCGGCTGCCTACTTCCACAGCTCCGGGCTGCTGAGTCCGCAGGAGCCCATGTCCTGCTCTTGGTCACGGATAGTCGCTGCTTCTTGTCTATTCCGCACTTCCCCTACTTTGTCCGGCATTTGGTAGCACGCATGCAGTGGGAAGGCCCGTTTAAGGAGAGGTGGTTTCCCATCTTGGTTAACACCAAGGAAGCGGGGCTAGCTTCTGTGCACTTTACGTGGGCGGGGCCCGAAATTCTGGCAGTCCTCAGAGTCCTTGCGCCAGGGGTGGTCTTGATGTTGCTTGACCATGACACCTTGTTCACTGCCAGGTGGGAAGCAGAAGAGCTGCGAAGGTTTGCAGTCCTCGATCTACTGCCCAATACCCTCTCGACGGAGTCACTGGGCAGCATGGAAGTCGAGACGGACGAGACACAGCCCTGTGGCTCGCTTCCAGCCTCGCCGTGGAGTTGCTCGCCGGACGGGTCCATACCGTGTGGGGCCCGATCGCCAAACTCAATTGGCATGGTTTGTGCGTCCGAGGACCAGCTCGAAGCAAATGGGGGATTGGTCCTCTTCTACCCGAATGCTCCGGACGGCAAACATCCCCGGCCCCCTCGCTTCTGCATCCCTGGCAACGTCGCTAGTGCGGTGACCTCAATTGGTACTGCGTTGAGCCGAGCCCTGCAGCTAGTCATCATGCCCAGTGAAGTGCCCACTCCATTGCCTGGTATGCATGAGCAGGTGCCGTTGGACCAGATCCATTATCGGCAATGTCTACGCAACACCCCTCTTGCCGGAACCACTGCTCACAAGCACTCTGACTTTGTGTTTGCGTGGGCACTTTTAGGAAGATACATACATGAGGTTGCGTGGAAAACGGCCGACCTTACTGCTGGCCGGCCAGAGCCAGACATCCAGTTTGGCGCCTCCCCAGTCAGGCAGGTCAGAGGGGTCAAAACATGGGGACAAGGCCCATATGAACAGGGATTTCTTCCCTTGCTCATGGGTTACGGCGGCTCGCACTCCCGTTTGGCAATCCTACCTGGTCCTGACTTATTCATGGCGAACCGATACGCCGAGGTTATACCCCCTCCTTTTGTGCATGGATATGGTGCCAAAGGCAAACACATCTTGCCGCAGTGGGGGAGTGTGTTACGGCTGCCTACTCTACCCGAGTCGGTCTGGGGCAACGGGGACACCGTCCCTCTGTGGGCCTCTGTTAGAAAAAAAGGGCAGTGGACCAGTGCGGCTCCAGCTCTTCCCTGGGGTCCTCA